GATCAAACATTTGTGTAGTTCCCTGATGACAGTAGGTAGCATAATTTGGGGGAAGGGGAATCTCTTCATTTTTAGAAATATTAATCAAGCATTTTTTCAATCCAGCTAATGCTGACTTACCAAGCTAGGGGTTGAATGTGGCTGCATGCCCCAAAGCTGACTCTTTAAAGTTGTCTCTTTAATGTTAGTTTGCACTTAAAGAAAAATTTTGTTTAAAGATTGCAAAGTGTTTGCTGACTGTTTTTTAATTCCATCCGTTACTTATGTATGAAATAACCATTCCCTTTTCAGAACTGAGGAAAACCAGGAAGGTAAGGACAGGAATATCAGTATGAGCTTCCAGTTCAGGTGATTTAATAAAATTCTCTATGTTCAGCCAGACTGTCACTCAGCATGGAGCCTGTTTCTCTTAGTAGAGCATTACATGATTTATGATGCTCAACACTTGTGTTCAAGCATCAGAAATTATCAGCATCAAACTTTTTTTTCTTTCTCTCAATTATAGTAAGACAAATGCTTACTATTTGAGTGGCCATTCAGATGTTAAAGATCTGCTCAGGTGATTCCCTTTCTGCCAACAGACAGATGGAATGCAATGGATCTTAATTACTAATTTCTATATGTGGACATTACGGGTTAACAGTACACAGAAATAATATGTGATCTGCTTAAAAGTAACAGACAGGTAACAGCAATCATCTATTACTGCTGACTTGAGCATAAAGTTGATTGCTTGGGGTTTTTGTGAGCTGATTAGGTTTATTCAGTGCAGCTTTTGAAAACAGCTCCACTGTAACTCTGCCAGTGTTAGCAATAGAATTTACTCCTGCTCCCTGGTCTAAACAAATAGAAAAAGCCTTAAGGCAGCTGCATTTTGAAAGGGCTGGTGGAAGAAAGATTCCCATTCATGCTGGGTCTGGCTTTTTGTGTGCCTACCTGCCTAACTGAGCAGTCAATGGATACATGCAGTACTGATTGCTTCTCAGAGGGTGCATTTCATGCTTCCTGCTTCATGGTTGTGTGAGGCTCCACTCAAGTGGCATGAAGGTCAGCAGTACGGTGATGTGATTGCTGCTTTTAAATTCAGCTTCTGTGGCAGCTGTGTCTTTAAGGTTCAATGTCTTTTGGGTTGATGAGAAACAAAAGGAGTTTTTTGGGAGTGCATTTCCAGCACAAAACACAGTGGAGTGGAAAATTCCCCACCTCATGATTGCACATCATGATGCAGAACTGTGTTGAGATTTCTGGTCAGGTCAACTGCGTGATGTTGCTGCTGACATAATAGCTCCTGCTGTGAGACAGTTTGTTTGCTGAGGTACAACACTGAATCACTGGCTTCAGTTTTTCTGAACCTGTGTGAGAATGAACAGCTCTACACTCTGGTATATGTGCATTCATGAGCCCTAGAAGCTCTGTGCTCATCTCTGCTTGAAGTAGTTATTCCTTTGGTTGGCTTGATCATGGCAAATATAAATTTAAGACTAAAAGGTTGCTGCTAGCAACCATTAACATAGGTTTCACTTGCCCAGTTTTAGTTTCTGAATTAGGTTTTCCTGGAATTAAGCATAATAGTATGTAAGTTTTAAAGTTTATTGAATTTTTCTGTTCTGATTCTCAGATTTGCTCTCTTCTTTTACCTCTGTACCTAGTTTTCTTCTCCCTTTCCCTGTCTTCACTTTTGAAGCTGATCAGGACCTCACCGAAATGTTCAGCACTGTTTTCCTGTTCCAAATCTCCTTCTCCTCTTATTTTTCCTAGAAATAAGTCTGGAACCTTATGGACAACTTATCTCTGTGATCCCTTTTCTGTGCAACCTGATACCTGCCAATCCTACCCTTTTTTTCCATGTTCATTCTCTAAATGATCTCTCTCCTTCCTGATTCTTTTTTTCTTGCCCTTCTAAGAAGAAAGCATTCTGCATGTTGCAAACACCTACAGCATGCATGAGTTTGGGGGATCTTGCATATTATTCCAAGGCATTGGCTTGACCACTGAAAACAGATTAGTGGGTGAACTGAATCATTGGTGAGAGTGCACTGGGCCATGACATGTTGTATGTTACAGAAAAGCTACCCAACATACTGAGAGTTATTTGCATTCTGCAAAATAAGAATAATAGCAGCAGCAAGTACAGGAAGGAACTCAAATATTTCCCACTTTTTGTTTAAGTATTAAATATACATAGCTTCCTAGTTTAGCAGACTTTTTGTTTGACTTTCTGTTGTTCCAGTGTTTCTTCCCAGTAGAACCCCTGTTCTACCCCAGTACAACCCCTTTTTTTAGAAGAGTCCAGCCAATTGGTAATTCCTTCTTTCTTCCTTCTATATCTGCTCTAGAGAAGATGATATTACTCAGAAAAGCAGATTTTGACAAAATCTTTAGATACAGTTGGGAGATGAGCAGTGGCATTGACGAGGCTGAGGGTGAACATGAATTCTTTAATTGAGACATGGTGCAATTAGGTGTTTTGTAGACTGTTTTCCCCATCAGGTAAGCCCCTAAAAAGTCTGTTGGTATCACTGAGGAAAGGAAGGTATTTTTTCAAGTAAATAGAAGATAAATCACTAATTGTGTAATTCATTGAACCTGTAAGTTCATAGACTGCCACTGGAAGTCATGGAAGATCGATGTACTCTGTTTCATGAACTGCTTAGTAAGTAAGACTGTGATTAATTTAGTGGAGAATGTGAGTGAAGCATTGCTAGCATGATTACACAGGGTAATTTCTTGTACTGATACTAAGAGGTAGTAAAAATTGCTAAATAAAGAAATTCACGGTCAGCTGAGTATATGATTTTTTCTCAGCAGATAACAGCTGTATGTTTTTATACAAATTACAGGAGAATGAATTGACTGAGGTTAAGGAGTATAGCTGTGTGAGATATTTTTATGACAACAGTGTTAATGGTAAGATGAATGAGTGCTACTTACATAGACTTAATTTACTTTGCGTATATGCAATTGTCCTGCAGACAAGCCATGAAGACACTCAGGTACCCATAGTTGTATGAGAAAGTATATTGCTGCACAACCATTTATACTTAAATGTGTATCTGTGTATGTGTATCTTGATATCTGTGTATCTTAAGTTTAAGTAAAGATGAAAGCACAGGGCTTAGTGGGGAGTGATGGATAAAATATTCTGAATACATTCTGAGATATTCATCTACATCTTTACTACTGTTTGCAGATGTTCACATCACACAAAACAGCTAGTGTTGCTTAGACTTATTACTGATTACTCTTTGATGAGAGGCCAAAGCTGAAATAAGAGATGAGATATGTGTGGTTTTTTTTTCCTGAGGATGTGTGATTAAAGTGATGAAGACTTCATTTCTATTATAGATGGAATGTCTGCTGTGATTATTAGAATCTAGTTTATATAAAATCTAACTTGAAACTCCATTTATTATTTATTTGGTTAATGTAATTGCCTTAATATCTTCCAAGTTTTCCCTAAGCTCTATGCTTTATAACGTGACATTACTAGGACATAGGAGGTATCATCTGTTAGAAGAGGGGGAACATGCAATAATTAAATTGGGGGTTGGACTCGATGATCTCTAGAAGTCCCTTCCAACCCCTACAATTCTGTGATTCTGTGAAATGCACTTTATCGTTTTCTATGAAACAGTGTCCAGATTCTCCCTGTTAATGTGGATAGATGGAATTTTCAAGAGCTTGTTCTTGTTATATTGACAAGATTTAAAACTCACTTTTACATGTAATATTTGTGTACACAACAAAAAAATTTCTAAAACCTCAAATGTTAGTTGGTTTTAGGTGAAAAAAATTCAAGTGATTTATTTGCCAGCCGAAGCATCAAGCTAGAAAAACTAGCTTGATTTGTTTCAAAAAATAAATATTGAGATGTCTTCCCTTAGAAGAGAGCACCATTCATAGAGTTTGTGATGCTAATGATGTTTTGCAGGGGAAAAAAAAAGACCCTCTACCAGAAATAGCAGCAGTAACTTTTATTCCCCCCCCCCCAGTTTTGCTTTATTATGTCTTTAAATCTTATGAATAGCAGTAGTCCTGATGCCCAAGTGAATGCTTTCTGAAACAGCGTTAATACCTCTTCCCTAACCCTTACAATCCTTTGGGATTCTGTGTGTATCAGGGTGAATTATTGGCTGAGATGTGTAGCCTCTGAATATAGCTCCTATATTATGACAGTTACAGACCTCTTCACATAACTGGAGAAGAACTTCAGGTTCTCAGTGTTTTCCCATGCAGCTAAGCAAATGAGAAAACCTGAATGTATTGATGGCTTACAGTTGTGTGGTTCTGTGGGCCACATGAAACCAGTGGCAGACTCACACTAACCCTTGTGAAAGTGGCTGCAATAAGTATATCTCCAGGAAGAAACTGCAGAGGGAAACCATGTTGCAAATGGAAATGAAAAATAAACATCTACACGCTGTTTGTCAGTTCAGAACATAATGTTTATCTGCCAGCAAAAGCTAACAGTGACTTCACATAGACAAAATTTCCTGGGGAAAATCATTTTGGGCCTGAAATTCAAGATACATGCAAAAAAGTTGCTATATCCAATAACCAATTATCATTTTAGGCATAGATTCATTATGAATTACTTTTGGATAAATGATCAATAAAATCTATACATGTAAATTTACTTCCAGGTTCTGGTTATTGCCTTGTTTTAGAAATATTTTCATGCTTAATGCACAAAAATAATAATAACAAAAAAGAATAAAAGGGATGTAGAGGCTGTGCTTTACAAAATAGCAAATATATTTGCCCCTTGCCAGTATGTGCAACAAATGCAGAGTAAGTGTGATTGTTTTTTCAACTTTATTTTGAATTTTTTTTAATCTTGCTTGATGTGCCAGCTTCATTAAATACATTAATTGCTTGTGGTTTGCAGCGTTTCTTGACTGGAAAATGCCTTTGTTTTAATTGTGCCATCCAGCTGTTAGATTCCAATGTGTAAACAAAATTAAATGCTTACCTCTGTCCCTTCTGTGTTTGATTTAAAGGTGATGATACAATGACAGGAGATGGAGGAGAGTACCTTAGGCCAGAAGATCTCAAAGAACTAGGAGATGACTCTTTACCAAGCAGCCAGTTCTTAGATGGTATGAACTACCTGAGGTACAGCTTGGAAGGAGGGCGGTCTGACAGGTATCTGCCTGGATACGTATCCTTTCTCTTGGTATGAGTGTTTGAAATCCATTCCTCAGTTCTTTAACTCAAGGGAGACAAGGGATGATGCACTTTACATTTCTTTACTAAGTATGTCGAGGTATCAGTTGATATTTTGTAAGGGGAAGACGTGGTCAGGAGAAAATTTCCTAACCAGTCAAGAAATTAACATATCTGGCACTGATACTGAATTCAGAATCTAGTGAATAATTTGTTTCTGACTCTTATTTGGTTCTTGAAAAAATGTGGCTTGCTTTATTGTCTTTGTGGCCCGGCAAAGGAAGAAGTCTTGTCTTGGAAAGGACTCATAAATCATCTTAATCTTCTCTTTACATGAGTCAGGGATTGTGTGGGAAGGTGAACAGTGTGTGTTAGTGTTAGGTGAGCTGACTTTCTTTTGAGTATTTTGTGGGAATTGACAATGTTCACTAAAAAATAATTTAAAAAAATGAGGTCTTGGCAACAGAAATAATTTGTAGCCAACATTTTCCAGCCTTGACTGTTACGCTGGCAACGTTTCTGAAACTCAGTGAAGTCAGTAGGATCCATTCTGTTTACTTCAGTAGGCTGTGAATTGCTGCTGGAACAAAAGATGTCAGGAAACAGTTCAGTTTGCTTCACAGCATGCGTACACCCCTCATCAGTGAGGTCTTTTAAACTTGCAGCCTTTGTTGGTATTTAGACAGCTTCCATGAATCCACTGAAAACAAAGTGACTATTGCTTTTCAAGTCTCAGATGATGTTTATGAACTGCATCAGAATGCTTAAAAATCGAAACCTTTTATGATGCTTTTTCAATGGTAAAAATGTTTTTGTGGGTTTTTATTTTTGTTGCTGTTTTTGTTTTTTAGGAGGTTGTATGAAATGATTGTGCAGCCAAATGTTAAGCCGGTTTCTGCAACCATTTAGAACAGTTTAACTTTCAATAAGCTGTCAATGGATTTCAGTAGATTTTCACAAGCATATAATTGTTGTGTTCTATTTAGAATTGAATGAAAATGATTTCACATTATTTATCATGCATGGTTATTTTCAAATGAAGCAAAATGATAGAGAAAGTGTGAAAAGAAGTGCATCTTTCTGACTCCATGTTGTCATTCTCTGTCTCTATCAGGTTACTGATTGTAAGAATTTTCAGACACTACTTAAATTGTTTTGTTGTAGTTGTTTTTTTTGTCCTTGTAATTTTCATTGCATTACACCGACTTTGTTTTTTAAAGAAATTCAGCAAAGCAAAATAGTACTAGCAGCTTCTACTCATATAATCTTGTGCATTAACAATTTGATTTAAAAACATATTATTTTCTTTTGTAACCATCTTCCCTGTTTGTTTTATTTCTCTCTCCCCTTCATTCTTTTTCATATGCTTACATAGCACCATGCCCAGGTAGGTATTACACAGCATGAAAACATGTCTTTCTATCCTTTCATGGCACTTGTCTCTCTTCATTCATTTTGAAGGCCTGCTCTGTGCTGGAATGTTAATCTTGAGAACCAAATGAATGGTATTGCTGTTGCAGATGGTTGTCGTCTCAAATGAGTATGATGTGCATAGGTGAATACAGATACAACAGTACTGTCAGTAGGACAGTAGAAAGGTCATGGTATGACATAGCTACTGTATCACAGAAACTCCCCTCTAGTAAGAATCAGGGAAGCTGCACAAGATCACAACAGCTGGAAATTTTCCTCTCATCATGCTGCTGTGAAAGTTAGCTGTTTCCATTTTCTATGTGGAAGAACAGTGGTAGAATAAAAAAAAAAATAAATAGAATGGGCTACATAAGTTGGATTCCCTCTTTGGATATGGAGGGCAACAACCATTTAAGGCCATATGAGTTAATCAGTATTCGAATATACTCCTTTTCAGTGTAGATGCCTTCCACCTTTTGTCCATGATATCTATGAGGAAACTCTTCAGTCTGTAATAGCGAGGTATTTCCAAGGCTGATTTATACTGTTTTTCAATGACACCAGGTTATTTTCCCAGGTTTCTGGAACACTATACACTTGTCACAGCGATAGATACACTCAGCTGGACTAGAGATTTCTGGAGGTATCTGTCTAGGTGAACAAGTGGATGGGCAAGTAGTGCAGTGTGGTCTTCTAATTATCCAGACTAGAAAGTTGGCTAGAGTATACTGCTTTCCTTTTCTGGATACCATCTGGGGTTCATTCAGGACTTAGGAGAGGTGAATGATACATGCCTGCACATACCTAAACACAGGCAAGGCATGCGGTAAAAGCTTTGTGGGGTCGTTGGGTTTCACAGTTCACTTGCTGTGGCTGAGGAGAGTGCTTCTGTGTGATTACACTACACTTCCTTAACTGGACTGACATTTCAGACAGTGTCTTTGTAGATCTCAGAATCACAGACTTCAAACAAACTACTCTTTGTTCTTCCTTCAGCTGGTGCGGCACACAGAAGAGGGGCAGTGTTGTCTGAACACTACTTTTGAAATAAACAGTAGAAATTAATAGTAGAAAATTAAAATTAATTTATTGCAGACCTCAGTCATGTTTGTGCATACCTTCTCTTTTGATGAAGTCCATGCCTCAGAAGTATTGGGTGTTTACTGGAGGTAACATGCACTACGTACTGGAAATGTACTAGGCTGCTTGTAGTGGTAGTAGAAGTAATGTCAGGCACTTATAGAACATGGACAAAATCATCATACAGATGATCTATCAATTCTAGTACATATTTCCTTTGATTAATATTACACATTATATTAACTGAGTGGCAGAACCTACAGTTTGGCTGGTGAACTTCTTTCCAGCATTGCATGGCACAGCAAAGCAATTCTGAAAGTGTCAAGTGTTGAAGTGGAAAAAGTTGAATGTTGGCAAATGGGGTCTGCTACTGGAGCTTATTTTCCACCCAAAGAACAAATGTTCATTGAAGTACTGTTATTATGAGTAAGCAGCATGTACTCTGCCTACCTAGTTCACACTAAAATGTTTAACTAAAATATCCTTCTGTCAAGAGTCCCTTTCACATTGTATTTTTCTGGAATGATTTTGTGCAGACAGGGTGAACTACTTGAAATCAAAATAATTTTTGTCTTAATGAAATCAGAATTATATTCCAGAAATGCACGATCCCAGAAATATTCCAAATATCAGCCTAACCTGTCTTACTTCTTTTACTTGTCTGGGGAGAGACATTACATGACATGTAAAAGATACTACTTGATGATGGGCATTTTGTTTTTCTCAAGACTTTTCTAAGGTTGATATTTGTGTAATGCTTATCTGTTTTTCAGTATTGTATAGTCCGTCTGTTATGCTAAGTAGGCCACTGGTGTCTGCCAGTCGTAATAGTGTTGATCATTCTACAGGGTTAGGTATTTGTAATAAAAATAGGATTATCATTTTCTTCTAAAAAGGATTAAAGAATGTGTGTGTGGGGGGCAGTGAAGTTAGCTATTATTCCAAAAGGCTGATTGGTCTGAACCAGATGGTAAAACCTGATTTCTGACATGATCTGCATTTAAGTACTTGAATATCATGTCCACAATGTAATTGAGACATTGTTATTGCTAACAGATGAAAATTAATTATCCTGCCATTAATTATCCCATTAATAAATGCCTGCTGTACCGATCCAGGGCATTAGTCATTATGAGTAGTACTCATGGATGTATAAGCCATGAAAAAAAGGTTACTTCCTTTAGTTACATGTACTGTATTCATCAGAGTACAGAACAATATCACAAAGTGCACGTACATCATCTAAAGATGATGGATCCACTCTTAAAAGTCACTTTCCTGCTAGTGAATGCATATAGAACACCAAGCTAGTGGTATATGATAGCAGAAACTCCATTTACCTCAATATTTCTTTCTGTGGTGTGTTATTTGTCTTGTTGGCTTTTTGCTGGTGAATACTGCAGTTAAATTCTAAACCAGTGCTTGGAAGCAGCTTATTTACTGCCTTGCATCCCTTATTGCTACAGCAACCAGTTTTCTGTGGAGCTGTATGTACTTAATGAGAAAACAGTGCTGACATTCAGATTGCCTCTAAAGATGCTGTTGGCATACAGAGGAAGAATTTGTCTTATGCAGAAGCTTGTGGCTGGCCACAATTCACCTTGCTGTGTGTACCTTCCAGGGGACAATATCAAGCTTTACTCATTTAAAATTTTAATGGGGTTAGAGTAGATCATAACTAAGCTCTAGAAAGTGTCATTTCAGATTTTCTTTGGATTTAGCATTCTGTTTTTCTTGCAGTATGTAGCAGGAGAGAGAACTCTTCCAAAGAGCCTTATTTAAAAGGAATTTGTATTTCTTTTAATTAAGGAAACAATCATGCCACAAAGCCAAGTATAAAGCATTTGTGAATATAAAGTAAACTGTAAATCACCTAGATTAATCTCTAGGTTCTGCATTCGAAATGAATAAAAGTCAGTCAGAATGCTCTGTGGCCTTTGGTCAGAAAAACAACTTAACAGATTCGTAAAGCTCTATTTTTCCCCTCTCATGACTATTATATACTCCCCCTGGAAGCTGCATCATATTGCTAATTGCACGCTTTTTTTCATTCTCCCACTTTATCTATCATCACACCTTTGCAACATCATCTGTACTGCTGATCTATTGCTATGGCATCCTACCAACCTACCAGCCTACGATCCTTCAGTTCAGACAGGTCTCACACACTGAGCCATGCCTCCTATCTGAGGGACAGTGCCATGATTGACGACACTGTTGTAATCCCTAGCCAGCAGGTAAGCACATTCTCTTAACTTCACACTTTGTTTGGGCAAATATGGAAATACACAAAAATTACTGTTTAAATTTACAGAGAACATATAGTGTGTGCTGCTTTATCTTTTGTAATATAAACCTCTTTAATTGCAGTTGATACTTAATGTCATATTATACTATGCAATATGAAGCTCTATTCCAAAATAAATGACTATGCTGTATGAATATAGGACAAAGACAATAATGTTCTCCATTTTACCACACTAATAGCCATTGGGCCCAAGAATTGAGTGATCTGATAACTCAAAGTCACTGTCCTCAAATGTATAATCCTGAAGCATACCTTAATTTAAGAAAAAATTATTTAGGAAATGCCACTTTGATAAATCACAGTGTTTATTTCAGTGGGACCACTAACAGAAATGATTACTTTGGGCAAGTGTAAAATTTTATAGTAAGGGGTTTCTAATATCATTTTGCTACTATAGTTTGTTTACTTCTGAAAAAAATTCAAGCACTGCAAGTAGTACTATGAAAAATGCATCTTCTTATTGTTTCATTGATTAATGGTGTTAATTATAGTAAAAACCAACAAACAACACATTTTTTTTGGTTTACCAAGGTAACTACTCTGGCCAAAGAAGCAGAAAGGAATTCATATCGCTTAAGCTGGGGGCCTGAAAACTTGGATAATGTGGCTCTTTCTTCCAGCCCCATTCATTCAGGGTAAGTGTATCAATTAGTATTGTCTTAAAATTAAAAAAATAAAAATAAAAAGAGAAAGAAAGAAAGGGAAAAAGAAACAGAATACTTGCAATGGCAGTAGTTTTAACAGATTCTTAACTAAGAGGTTTTTTTGTTTGTTTTTAATTCACCCTCTCCTAGAGAAGTCAATGAATTAAAAATACAATCACTTAAGTTCTGGCAACTCTGAATACCAAGACTACCTACCCACTGAAATCACTGAAATCTGCAGGTTAGGTTTCTGTCAAGTTCCAGAGGAATAAGATAATTGTCACATACACATGTGCATCTGTGTGAGTTTTATGGGAAAAAGTCATTTTTAGAGTTAGTAATAACTGAAGCCACAGGGCTCATCAGTCTTGGTGGCAAAGTACTTTCTGTGCTAAAAAAGTATGTAAACACAAAATCTAGTGCTTGTCAGAATTATTAATTAAAAACAAAACAAAACAACAACAAAAACATAGGACTTTAAAGTACACAAAGTGTGTAATAGACAAACACAATAAATATTACATGGTTTATGCATATTTGGCCACTGTATACATATGTTTTCACAACTGACTTTCTCTAAGCATTTGTCTTTCAGCTAAAACCATTGAAATATAGTAAGACAGGTCAAAATGTAGGCCCAGTCAAACTCCTACTAATAAAGCTTATCATGGTTGGCTTCAAAATCTGTGCATGCATTTAAGTTCTCTTGCTTACTGCGTTTGGAGTAATTTTATTCTTTACACTGAGTTTGATACTTGTGCCAAGAAATTTGATGAGATGTGCAGATGAGTTAGTAACAACATGCAATACAAAAATATTTCTGCGGAGCTATGTAGTATGCAGAATGGCTGGACATCACAAAATGAAAGATTTTTTGTTAATCTCAAATTAGTTTGCATTAATATCAAATTAGTTTGCAGTCCATATCTTTCAGAGATAATACTACAGTTCCATCTGGAATAGCAGGCAGTTCTGGGCTAGAAGAGGAACAATGTTGTCATAACTGAGAGTGCAAATTGACTGATCTATGGCATATATGAGGAGTTTGTTAGCTGGTAGTAGGATATTTGGATGTAGCCAGTGTTGTTTGGATATGCTTTTTGAGCTCCATAACTAACAAATGAAATGACTATGCTTAACTTGTACAGTATACATGTTATTATCAATGCTGAGATATAAGCTTTAAAATTGGTTTTGTGTTTATTCTAACTCTAAATGGTTTACAGCCTTTTTCCAAAGGATGTATTTCTTTTCAGTTACAGCAAGGTAGGTCTTTCTAGCGATTGCAGAGGATGAACTTTTTCGAGATGAGTAAAATTTATTTCATGATCAAAAAAAATGTTAGCGGTTTAGATCATTTTTGATGACAAGGATGCTGTTCTTAGGGTAAGAATATCTGACTTTAAGAGCAACAACTCTCTGCATTTTTGTATGCAACAGTGAAGTTCAGCACCACTCAAATTATGTTTTTTTCATATGTTTTCTAAATACTGTAATAAAGAAATCTATATTAACAATTACTCAGCCTTTGGAAAAGGCTGTACAACACTTCATTTTTATCTGACTTAGATTTATCGAAATTATCACGTTAGATTTATTCAAGGTACCAAAAACTGCTGGGGTGCATCTTTTATACGAAAATAGATTGCCTACTAGAGTTATGCTTGTAAGACCCCTTTTAAAAAGTGAAACTATTGTAGAAGAATGGAGTGCATGATTGTTGCAGTCACTTAACTGGAAGAAAGCAGATCTATTTGTCATCTATATTTCTTCCATCACCTACACACTTCTTTAGATACATACTATTATTGACAGGTTATTAGGAACGAGCAGTATTGCTTATGTTTTGGGTACAAGCACTGAAGTAGTGCGTACCAGAAAAGAAACACTATGTAAACATTGCTAATAGGTATAAGCAAGAGTATGCCCTTGCTTTTGCTCAAGACACTGGAAATGTATTGAATATAGACCACATTTTTTATGAACTAACACATCAGCAAAGTATTGGACAAAGCTTTATTTGGCGCAGATCATCTTTGTCTTGTGTTCTCTGCAATCTGAGAGAAAATTGATATTATTATCTCCTTGCACTACTTCAGTGGTTAACTCCAAATTGCTGAGTTCTTACCAACCTCCTATTGTAGAGAAGTGTTTCTGTGGATCACAGTGTAATGTATCCAATCAAAAAGACTTAGAACTACTCTCTGGGTATGAAAGTTCACAGGTGTATGTTTCAATTTTTGCATAACTAACCAAAGCTTCTCCTAGGTCTGATATTTCTGAAGGAGAAAAAGTTTCAACTATCCATTTAAAACTTAAATGTAACTGTTATTTCAGTATGCTGATGAGTTCATCAGTATGACGTGAAAGACAAAATCCTTGGTCAGAGTCTTTGGCAGCTGTTTCAAAAACAGTAAAACAATTTTCTTATTAAATGTAACACTTTTGGTGCCCACTGTCTCAACATAAACATTTCCTAGTCATTTTTACACAGTTAACCACTTCTGAATAGTTTAATACGTTAGATTAAGGAAAGTGTACAAATTTCTGCATTTAAACTTCCTTTTAGCAAATGAGATTTACTTCTGATAAAACTATCTGATTTTACAAATTCAGCAAAGGTAAGGATTTGTCTTCGTACCAGGAAGATTGGATGCTGAATGTTCAATAAGGTGGCATTTTATCACTCCGCTGGTAATAAAAGGAGTGTTATGCATAATTTCCTGCTGAAGCATTATGGGAGACAGAACTAACACCTACATAAATGCAAATATGCTTCACAGTTTTAATCTGATACCTCACAGTATTCTACTGCGCAAGAGCACATAATATTTTCATTAATTTGGAAGGTAAAAAAAATGCTGAACTGAATGGTTTCTTTTCACTTGCAGCATTTAGACATTTCTTGTCAGTCAGTATGGTATTCTTAGGTCTCTATCACACACAGTAGCTAAGTGTAAATGGTAAAGATAAGACTGAGTGTAAGATTTTTCAGGTATATGTAACGTGCAAAATTAAGTTGTTTTCATTCTTCAGTTCAGGTGATACAGTGAACAAGATCTCCCAGTTTAGTTCTGTAGATTAGATTCTAAGAATTTTCCTGGCTAATACATAAAGATACTGTATAAGAAGAAAGGCAGATCTGTCATGCTGTCAGAAATGTGGCAGTGGGAGTGAGGAGCTTTGTGTTGATGTTGCGCTGATATTAGCTTGCTTCCATGTCCTGGAGCAAGATACACAGTAGCACTAAATGTTTTCCAGCTCTTAATTTGCTTGCAATAAAATGCCTGTTTTTATTTTCTTAATTTGATGAAGGAGTTGTTAACGTATTTGACTAATAGGTGTTTCGAGTGTATCAGTATTTATATCTGACAAAATTAAATAGCTGGGCTATTATTAAATTTACCTTTCTGGAAGTTTTTTCTTCCATCAATGAAAAAGGGAGAAAGACAAGGGAGTTGGTAGCTGGTACTGTGACAAATAATGTCAATTATCATTCTTAGCTGTCTGTCTGCAAAAAAGGAGACTGGATCCTTACTAACAAGGTAAAGAAAATATATTTTGAGTGTTGTATTTTGAATCCATAATATTGTTTCCCCAATGTGACATTCATTTTCCAGAAATAGTTATGGAAACAGGACCTGGCAGCTACCAGCTGATAGTCATTTCTAAAATCTGAAAACCTAAATGATTTCAAATTGTATTCTAGCCTTATTCAGGAAGTCACAATAAAGTAAAATGGGGTTTATTTCATTAACAGAAAATCTCTGTCAATGGAAGAAAACACAATAGAGATACAGATGATAACAAGCAACATCAGAAGACTAACTGACCGCAGAACACATTACTAAGAGTCTAAACCGGTCAAACTGAAAGTTTAAAATTTGTCATCCTGTAGTGGAGAACAGAAGGAGGACAATAAACATGTTGAAAAGGAACAATAGATTACATACATAGGGAATTAATAGAAAATCATGATTGCCTGTGTTATTAGAAACACTGCCTGGAAATAGTCTAGACACATACTTCTAATATATCGTGGTCCAAATTTAAATGTGTTTACAGACACCAACTATAGTCTGTTTCTGAAAGATTTACTCAGATTCTAACTTTACGTTTTATGTATCTGACTTCCAGTTTGAGAATGTATATAGAGAAAGCAGAGCATTTTAGCTTTACTACTGTTGTAGTAGTAATCATTTGCAACTAAGGATGTTTATGTAGCCTTACTTTTCACACCTCCTTCTAATTTCTCACCTGTAATGAATATGCATGCAGTATATATATTCATGTGTTTAATTTAGAAATCTGTTTCATTTTTTCCAGTATTTCAGTATTTTATTTAACTCATTTACTTTTCCTTTTCTTTTCTTTACTTTTTTGATGTTAAATCATCTATTCTGTTGCAGATGCTCTTCTCCATGTCTTGATCATGACAACAGCAGGTGAACTTCTGCATAATTTCTTTCTTTAACATGTTGCACCTCTCATCTGCCATATTTATCCTTCTCTCTTACCTCACTTCAGGCTGCTTTAGTGTTTTGATAGTGCACATTAGACACGAGGAAAAAAAAAACCCTCTCTGTCTATAACAGTTACACATGGACCTATTTTTCTTGTGACTGAGCATCCACTTTCTCCCATCTGCTGTTATATCCTATATGAGAAAATGCTGGGCACATTACAGGTCTGCTGCAAACAGCCTTGTCAAACTTCCTATGCATTTCTAATTTGTTTTAATCCTTGATTTAATTAACAGTAAGTTTTCTTTATCAATGATCTGGATGGATATTGGTAAAAGAAAGGAAAAAAAAAAAACACAAAAAATGCAAGACAAACTGTAAATAGGTTTAGTATCAAATTTCATTTCACCAAGTGGGCTTTTGCTTTTTCTCTTCACTGTATAAAGAATGTCGCAGAACCACTTCCTATGCCATATCTTCCAAATTATGCCACCCTGTTGGAACCAGTAGAATAGCAGTGCTGTATTT